TGAGATGCTTTCAAATCCACAGTCACAGAAAACTCCAGCCTGTGTAGATCATTCCTTCATCCAGGAAATGTTCTCAAGTAGCTTGTAGAAGGCGAGGTGGCAGGCGCTGGGGTACTTGGAGGGGGCATTGGAAGGGGCATTGGAGAAGCACCTGGAGGGTCATGAGAACTTGGAGGGGCACCTGGAATAGGTGCTGGAGGAGGTGTATTTGGAGGTGGTAAAGGTTGCGATTGGATCACCTGGTTTTGTAGCCTGATCAGCTCCAAAACACGGTCAATCTCCTCATCCCCAGGCCTCCTGCGAGAGGAACTTGATTGTCCAGCTCCCATAGCAACAGCAAGAAAAAATATCGAGCACTGAAACAGGAGCTAGAAAGCCAAAGCAGCTTCAGTTGCAAAATCCATTCTCAACACTGCAATTGCCATGCCAAACAATTTCAGCATTCCAAATTCCAGACAAAACTTCTCAAATCCAGAATTCCAACCCAACATTAAACATTAAAGCCACATCCTATGAAAGTCTATAAGCCATTTTTGAAATCCACCCAGGCAGTAAACTCTCAAGTTCCAAATGTCAGGAGATCTTGCACCTCCTTAAGACAGAAAAGTGGAAAGACTATTTCCTATTTTCCTATTGAGAACTCTCAGGAGATTTTACACCTCCTTGAAACATGCAACAGAAATCAGCAGCCATTTTTTTTGCAATTTCATCCAATCTAATCCACATCCTGTCCAACCTTCCACTTTCGAATTTCCTCATTCAAAAATTCAATCACAGATTGTTCAGTAGCACCATTGTGCAAATCAGCAATGCATTTCTGGGCCAAATCCAAGCCAACTTCTCTTGAAATTTTGTTCAAAGTGAAAGATTTGATTTGTTTCTTGTCTCCAAAATTTCGTCTGACACCTAAAGCACCATACTTTCGACTGCCTTTGGCAGGATAATCTTCCAAGCGATATTCAGGAGATGCCAAGTCAACAGCAGCAGGTTCAGGATCAGCCACTGCAACAGCCGGCCGAGCTTCAACATCCTCTTCTTCAGAAGTGCCAAGTACTGCTTCACATGCAGCACGCTTTTTCAAGATTGCAGCAGGCCTTTTCAAGACTGCAGCAGGCCTTTTCAAGACTGCAGCAGGGCTTTTCAAGACTGCAGCAGGCTTTTTCCCACCTGCAGATTGCCTATAGATCTTCAAAGATTCATTGGGAATTTCAGATTCAAATTTGTTTTCACCAAAAGCAGCAATGGCGAAGCCATTTGGTCCTTCACTCATAGTAGCTTTCTCCACCTTGCTATCCACAAAGCGACATACCACCATGGCAGTAGAATCGATCCAGGTTCCAACACTCACAGGCTTCTTAGGACTCGCTTGGCTCTCTTCACTCGACACTTCTATCAATTGATGCTCTTGGCTATCCAATGTTTCTGAGCTGTGGCCTGGAGGAAATTTTTGCAAAAGTGGTTCATTCACAGGCAACTGTGGGATGGAGCTCGCATTGGAACTTTGTCTCATGAGCCTTCGCTTGGCAATGGCTTTCTGAACAAACTTGCCTTTCTGCCGGTTCCCATGGAATTCTGAGCACTCCAGATAGATCTTCACAAGCTTACCCATCCAAGGCTCATATTTCTTACTTGAAATTGACCATTTTGCTTTTGTTCTGATGTGTTGCACACATTCGACAATTGCAGAAGACCACTTCTTCGCTTCGTCACTCAAAGTGCGAGGGTTGACTTTCAAGGCAGCTTCCTTCAAGCAGTCTTTGGATGGTCGAATTGTTTTCTGGAACATCAAGCCCAGAAATTTTCGATAATGCTTGCAAACTTGATCAATTTCAACATCCAAGTACTCCTTGGGATCCAAACAAGCCACCTCTGCTTTCAAACATGTGCAAAGGTCTTGAACAGAAGCAGTGTTCTTAGCTCTATTCATCTTGAGAAATCAACTGCAGATGCGATGCAGAAACAGTACATGCAGGAAATCAAAACACCAAAAGGAGATCTTGCATCTCCTTGAAGCAACCTCCAAAGGTTGGCCTTGATGCAATGATGATGTCAAAGATGTATCTAAAAACAGTGAAAAAAATCCTCCTTAAAAAAAGATTAAGGAGGAATTTTCAAAAAAAAAACACCTTAATTAAGGAGAATTCCTCCTTAATTAAGGTGGAATTCCTTAATTAAGGAAAAAATCCTCCTTAATTAAGGGAATTCCTCCTTAATTAAGGTGGAATTCCTTTAAAAAAAACTCCTTAAATTAAATAAGGAGGAATGGAAGTTCTGGGCAGGCAGGCGCGGCTGCAGAAGCCTATGCCCGCCACAAAGAACTTCATCTTCAGACGTCTGCAGCTTGTGAGGCTCAGGGGGTGAAATTCGTTCCAATGGTTGCTGAGTGTAGCGGCGCTTGGGATGCCGGGGCCGTGAAGATTTTGCACCATGTGGCACGTGCGGTTGCCACCCGCACTGGCGAAGATTCGGCCTCATGCACCAGCCTCTTGCTCCAACAGCTCGGTGTCACCATTCGGTCGTACCGGGCTCGAGCGGCGTTGCGGCGCCGCGGTGCTGTGCTTTAAGCAGCCGGGCAGCACTGTTGTGCCGCAGTGCCGTTACTTCAAGCAACCACATGGTGCAGTGCTGTTGGTCCGAAGCTTGTCGCGCAGGGTTCCAATAGAATCGAGGCGATGTCAGCACGCACAGCTCAGAACCAACATCTGAACCTCTTTGGTCCCAGTGAGCTTTGCAGACTTGCAGGGAGGGCTGCTTAGTTTTTGACGGCTTACCAGCCATTTTCGCACCCGCTTTTTCCAATCCAATTAAAGGTGCTTGGCGTTTTCCACAAAGGGCTTCCCTTTTCTTGATGCACACCAGTACAGCCTGGGTGTCCTTTCGAAGCCCCCGTCAACACCACCTTCATGTCCACTCTGAGTAAACTCTCAGATATGCCAGACATGAAGCTGGATAGTTTTATGACTTATTTCCCGATATTTGATATGTCACTCACATATGATATCCATATCATGTGCAGATGGAAATTGAACTTGCATGGTTCCACATGGTTCCACATGGTTCCACCATTCCTAAAATCGAGAATGAAACATGTATTCATTTGTCATCAGTAAACTTCAGTAAACTGCCAACTTCATCAATATTGCAGGTCTGAGCCAGTTAAGACCTCACCCAGTTGGCCGCTTCCCTCGTTTTGTTGGTTGTGAGCCACTGAACCGCTGGACATTTGGACAGATCTTATGTCGCACTTGCTGTACAGCTCTTTCTTTGACAGCAGACCGGGTGCGCGAGTCAGAGGGTGTGTGCGAGTGTCAGAATTCTTGGCAATCTACGTGGAGAATGGGCATCAGAAAACTTTTTGTGTTTTTTAATCGGTGTTTTTTTTTGCGGTTTTTGAGTGGGTTTGAGGTCGAGTTTGGGTGCCAGTGCCAAGAAATCGCGTACCACGGAGGGCTTGAAAGCATCATTTTTTCCTGCGTCCCAACGTTTTACATCTGTGGAAGACAGCAGCTCAGCCAGTCCAAGGTGTGCCCTTTTTGTGAGAGTGCACCAGCTTTTTCGCTGAATGGGGACAACAACGTCCATGTGAATCTCAAGGCAGGGACCACCACATTGAGGGTGGAAAGGAATGAAAGTTCAAGTGCTGTAGATGAATTGCCTTTATTTCCTGATATATATATATATATTGCCTATATTTCCTGATATATTAGATGCCTTTCAGATGAAGTCACTTCGCAGAATTTTGAATGTTCCACCTACTTTCATTGACCGAACGCAAACTAATCAAGTAGTCCAAGAACAAGTTGAACAATATGGTGTTGATGCGACAAATTTTTCTCAGGTGTGGAAAAACCAGAAGCTCAAATTATTATTTCGCAGCACCTTTCCCCAGTCGCCAGTTCACCATGCTCAAATTATTTGGACATATTCTTCGTCAAACCACAAAGACCCACTTCGGCAAGTGCTCTTCTCATATAACAGTTTCGCACCAAGAAATATCCCACTCACTCAAAAGAAGAGGTAGGCCAAAATTAGATTGGCTTCAAGAGACTATTAAAGATGCCTATCACGCCTTGGGAAGGGTGGCCCCACCTTCTCCTACACACCAAGATGTTTTGCAATTGGTGGATGTTGCCGCCCTTCGGTGCGGACCTTTTTGATATATCTTTTTCATACGGTAGCCTTATATCCACCTGGCCATCGGCCAACAGCCTCCGGGCTTACCGAGTAAACACTAAGAAAATTGACACCCTCCCGTGTTCCAAATTTGATTTTAATCTTTTGGTTAAGCTGCGCACCTTCATTGGCGCTAGAGAAAAAAACATATATAATTGTTGAACAGGTTGAAACTGGTTCTAGTTGTGGTTGCGGGTTCCCCAGGGTGCTCTGCGGGTCCTCTACGATGGACGGAACGGCGGCGTGCGGGGCCAAGGGTGTGGGATTCCAAGGCACTACTGGGATGAGTATGGACAAGTGGGTTAAAAACGGTTATAGAAATGTTAAAAAAAATCACAATATAAGAGTGATATAGAACGATGATAGCAAAGCCTTTGCACACCGTTCACTAGCTTCAGGCTTCATCACAGTGACGGTTGAGGCAGATGCGTGCAATTTGATTTTCGTCGGTACCGTGGATCGGAATCGAAAGGTTGTCGTCAAGGCACAACATCGCCAGCGTTGGGTGCCGGGCAGATGGAGGTCACATAAAAAATCTGGCAGCATGTTCATGGAGATGGTGAAGTCACTAGGATCACTAGCCTCGCCTGGAGCTGTCATTCAATTACACTTGTGTGAATTCAACTCAAACCCGCTCCATGAAGACAGAAGACAAACGTGGGAGGAAAAAGTAGGAATCCATTGACGGTGGACCAATTCTCCCTGACTCAGCATACCATCCGCTGACTTTGGGCCCAAAATCTGGGTATAACACTGGTATAACGCGAGTCTTTTATTTATTTTTTGATTTTTATTTCGAGTATTTCATGACACGGCAACATCTGGCAATGCATTCCTTGCATCACCGGGCGCCGGCGTGCCGGACCGGCGCCCTGGTGCTGTGCTTAGCCGGTTTGTTGACGCTGAAAGAAGGCACGTCCAGGACTTGGGTGCCACTGGTGGCTCGCAGAGCTAGCGAGTGGGGTCGCGCAGCTACGGAAGAAGAGTTGACACAGCAAGTTCCAACACTCTACGTCTACGACCACTGCCCTTTCTGTGTGCGTGCCAGGATGATCTTTGGGCTGAAGAGGATGCCCTTCAAGCTGGACTTTTTGATGAATGATGATGTGGTCACACCCACGAAGATGACGGGGAAGAAGGTTCTACCCATTCTTAAAATGGACGGTGAGGCCATGGGTGAGAGCTTGGATATCGTTGCCAAGATTGATGCCATCGGCAAGCCCATCTTGGCCAAAGCGGCGGATCGGAAGGACATTGACCAGTGGTTGAAGGACAACAAGGACTTGATGAGGACTGTGTTGCTGGGAGTGTTTGAATAACAAACACAGCATTAACCTCAATTTCAAGAATTTGATCATGCTCCACGCCTTTCTTGCCCTTGTTCACCATCAATAGCTTTTTGCACTTCTACAGTAGCCAAGAGATTTGTATGCATGTGATGGACCACATTCAGGGTGAACCATGGTGACCCCGGCTTTGCGAGTTCATCAGGAAGCTCACAAGACCTCGAGACGCGTCCGCCTTGTATCCCGAGTTTGCCACCCGGGCGGCCCGAGCCACTTGGGTGATGAACCACCCGCTCTCAGGCGCCAGAGATGGGACTACATACCGTCACAATCCGTCACACAGTCCCCAAACGTCCCTAAGCTCCTCTGCCAATCCCAAGACCTCAAAGTACATCAAAGTACAAGACTACCTTTACTGCAGGTTCCCCTCAAAAGCAGGATTTGCTCCGGAGACGGTTCAAACACAGCTTTCCTGGGCCTGCTGAGCAGGTAGTTCCTTTGAGGAGGCTCTTGAGTCCTCTGAGGACCCGTGTTACGAGCTTTCCTGGCTGAGACCACCAGGGTGGGATGCGATTGGATGCGATTGGATGCGATGGTAAATTGATTCTTACAATGTCTTACACTTCTCATTCCATTGGTCTTGACAGCGGTATCCATGCTGTTCAGTCATGATGCGATTGTATTATATATTTATTATATTGTATTGTCAACGTCGCAGGTTGGTGAACTTTGAAAAAAATAAATGTTTCGAATCCGGGTTGGGTGATGGCTGGAAGGGGCTGGACGGCACCCGTCCATCATAATCTGCAGATCTGGGAGAGAATCAGAATACGTATACAGGTCCGAGACACACCTGAAAAATAAGGTGTGCCAGTCTTTGCTTTGCTTCTACGAATCTACAAATGCGGAGGTTACATGTAATATACATATTTTTTTTTTCCTTCAGGGTTCCCAGAGGCTTCCGCCGCGACCACGCATTCAATTCGGTCCTTAGCCGATAAAGGCACCACCTGCAAAGTCCGGACCCATTTCACTGCTATACACTTTACACTCCATTGATGAGCACCGGTCTACAAAATTGCAGGGGATCTGCACAGTTGCATCCACTGGAATGGCACTCAGTGTCTGCACAAAAGATGTGGCCATAGCGCCACATAGGGCAGGGGGGTACTCCTTCAGCACAAATGTGCGAAACTTCCCGTCATTTCCCTGACCAATGCTTGCCACTTTCGGCAAGTCATCCACTATACGCCAAGATCTAATCTGAAGTCCCAGTGAAGGAAGATTCAGCGAAAGCAGCATGGTCGGCTTAGCTGAAATTGCGCCCAGAAGGCCTTGTGCAAATTCCCATAGCTGAAAGCCCGGCAGCTGCAAGAGTAAGTTGATCAAAGGCGTGTTCCAAATGGATGCTGAAGTTTCTTTGGGGGGTCTAGCAGGGTGTTCCAGGGCACCGCATCCCCCAATGATGTAGAGGACACTGAGCATGGTAACACAAAAATGCATCAGCTGATTGCCTACCAGAATCTGTCGAATCTCTTTCAGTGCTAAACTGTCCAAACCCCAGGGCTGGGTGGCTGTGCGAATCACACGGGGGCCTCCACGTCCATGAGCATGAAGCTGATGCTCACGTGCGCGACTCCATGTTTCACACGGGGGACCTCCTAAGAAGGCTACAACCCATTTGTTCGTGGCTGCCGAGATCCAAAATTGTCTCACGCGCACATCGCTAATGTCACCCCAGCAGCTGTCCAAAACAATATCCACCGACAATGTATGGAGAACAATACCTGGATGAGCCTCAGCAACGGCATCGAGAAAACATTGGAAATCACCCTGCCTTCTGCGGCCTGAGAAGGCGTGTAAGATGTATCTATGCACACCAAATCCTTGCGGCTGGGGGTGCCCAGTGGCTTGCACTTCTGCATTGTCACATTGCCATTCCAAGTCTGCACATGAGACCTCTACATCTGTTTGTTGGGACTGCACCAGCCATGGCCACGTCTGTGAGTCCAACATGTTGTCCAGCAACGCGTCCAGATCTTGGCGGCTCATCTGAAACGCCTCCAGATCGATAGTCTGGACATGCTCACGGAATTTGGCAAGGGTGTGACAAAAACTGGTCCAAGAGAGAGTCTTCCTCTGTACCATTGTACGCAGAGCATTTTGTTTCTCGTGCGTGTCAATGTGGCTCATCAGGATCTCAGCACATTCCCCAAAAAGGTCCGTGTCAAAATCCTGAACTTCTCTCTGTCGTGGTTCTGGGAGGCTAGGTCCCTGGCTGATCAATGGTGGCACCAAACCATCATGTAGTTGCTCCAACACACGATTAGTGACTGATCCATGCCCTTCACATGGTTGCAGCATGGAGTACCTTCGCTGGAGACTCATGCGGCACGGATGAGAATGGCGGAGATGGTTATGCAACTTTCCTAAGGTGTGGTACTCTTTCATGCAGGCTTCACACCTGGTCTGGTCAAAGAGGTACCTAATGTTGGAGAGCAATCCATGGCGTCTGAACATGTGCGCCCCCTCCCCACCTTTGGAGCGGAATGACATGCGACACACAAAACAACCATAAACGCCCCTCTCTGGCAGGCCATGGACAGGAATCGGCTTGGCATCTGGTGGCAATGTCAAGTGTCCATGACTGCTCAAAAGCTCAATGACCATCTGATGTCCCTGCTTGACCACCCAAAGATTATGTCGCTGCAAGATGGCATGCTGCAGCGCACGTTTGATCAATCCCTTCCAATACGTGCGATGATACTGCCAGAGATACTGCCAAGCAGTGAGATCCTGGTGGGGCTCGGAGAGTCCAGAGCTGTTAGACAGCTGTCTCCACATCCATGCAAGATCATCCTGAACCAATGCACACCATTCTGAGTCCCTATTGAGGAGATCCCAGGTCACAACATGTGAGCACGCATGCAAGGTGCCAACGTATCGCAAACGAGTCTGGCGTAGGAGCTCAGTGGGTGACGGGACATGCAGTTTGACCAAAACTTCCTCATCAGTGCTGTGGTCATCATGTGGGCAACCTAACAATCTTCGGTACAACTTCATGATGGCCGCATGTAGAAATTCTTTGGCGCGCATATCTCTGAACACCCATGACTCGCAACCGTACAGCATTTTGCTGAGGATCAGCGTGTTGAAAAGCTGCGTCCTTTTCTGCAAAGGTATGCTTTGGTTGTGATACAAAATTCTCCTATGCGTGTTGAAGGCAGTATGTGCCAATGCTACACGGCGCCTCATTTCGACTCGATGATCTCCTTTGTAGTGCAGGATGCCTCCGAGGTGCTGATATTGTCCTACAACTGCAATGTGACAAACCTCTTGCTCGCAAATGATGGGCATGGTGCCAGAAGTTGTGGGGCCGAACACCTGCTTTTGGCACTTGCGAACACCACGACCTCTGAGCGAGAGGAGGAGCTCGGTTTTGCCTTTCTTCAAATTGGGAGTGAGGCCATACCCTTTCATGGTGTCCAAGAGCAAAGAAGTTGCTGTGCCCGCACGGCGCAGTAACCCATCTGGCGTCGGCGCCATGAGGCATATGCAAACATCGTCCATCCAGACAGGGCCTAAGTAAGGCACCTGCCCTGCTGGGCTGTCTTGTGTACCAAAGGGATCAAATGTGGGAGTTGCTGCAACACGCTGCTGAAGTCCTACTTCATCGAGTTTGCGTTGAAAACTTTTGAGGACTCGAGAGAACAGATAACTGAAAACTACATCCGCAAAGCAGTCGCCTGGCCGAGAGCCTACAGATGTATGACAGCAATCCTCTTGACCTTGAATCTGGAAATACGTGTCTGTATGCAATGCTCTCAACACCTGCTTGAGATGATGTGGGAGGCATGCTTGATCCACTGCGCTTGGTTGCCTCAGATGTTCATGCAGCTCATGCAATGTGTCTGAGGTCATGCCCAGTTTGTGGACTATTTGAGCAATTTGTTCATCGGAGTATTGTCCACCTACAGCCAGCGGTCGGAGAACACGATAGAACGCTTCCGTGAGGTCCACCATGATAAGTCCAACGGAGTGTCCAAGCTGTTGGCCATGGCGCAAAAAAGCGCGTGCTTCATGCAGACCTAACGTGACTGGGACTTTTTTCCTACCTCCTAGCTGCTGTGCGCACAAATACTGTTCATACATCGTGGATTGGTGCTGACGAATCGTTCTATGGAGAACTTTTCCCATGTGGGAGCTAATGAGCAGTGAGCGGTACGAGGTAGGGTCTGTGGCAGGACCTTTACCTTTATATGCTGGCACCAGAGTACCGCCTTTGTGATGCAGAGACTCCTGGCCGTGGATGATCATCTTCATAAGGGCAGTGAAGTATTGTCTGGCCAGAAGTGCCGGACATGCCTTACATAGTTCAGGAGGAACTCCATCAGGCCCAAGTGCCTTGCCTTTTTTGACACGACGGAAGGACATCTCCAAGTCGGTTAGACTAGGAAGGTCTGCGGGGCCAAGGTCAATCTCATGCTGCTGAAATGTTTCCAGTGAAGCCTGCCATTTGGCAGTGAGATCTTCCCATGACATTCGGACTCCTCCTTCCATTTGGCCAAAGAAATCAATCCATGTATCCCGAAGCTGTTCCGGCTGAACACAAGTATGTCCATTCGGGTTGGTCAGCATGGGGAGGGTCGGTTTCTTAGGGCATTTCAGGTTCGTAGGCCCAATGTGTTTTTTTCACTGTACGCAGAACATCATTTGCAACAACATCATTGGGTAGGGCTTCAACGTCAGCCTGGATGGCTTGCAGTCTCGCACCCCTCAGAGCCTTTTTTAACTGTGTGGCCAATACATGCAGTTTCACTCCTTGATGGAGCTTCCAACATGAAAGCGCAGCAATGTACGGATGGTAAACTTGCCCATACGAGTTCACATCTTGAAAAGGCTTGTGGGACTGAGCTCTCCAGCCAATCCAGGCCGCACGCAAAAGTTCCTGACGGAATCTCTGATCAATGCTTTTGGCTATCCTGCGGCATTGAATTTTGTTGCTTCTGAGGTCCCAAATGCCTGAGGTGATGAAGCTCTTTTTGGCCTGATTGGGTCGTTTGCGGCAGTGCTGAGCCAGGCAATGCATCATATGTTGATTGTGGCTTTCAATATGTGCGTGAATGTCTTGGTCCCAGGCTGGAACCGCAAATTGTGCCAGTTTTGCCTGGATGCTACCATCAATGGATTCTCTTTGCACGGATGCCAACACAGGACGGCGGCTTGGAAGTTGGACAGGTTGCTGCCATTCCAGTTCCACAGCTGTAGCACAATGGTCGAGGTGTCCATTCCCTAAATCCAACTCCTCCACAACTCTAGAGAACTTGCAATCTCCACATCTGGCAACAGGAACACATACATGATCAATACAATGCTGCGAGTTACCATCTGGGGTGGTCCATGTCTCTTGTGGTCCAGAATGACAAGAAAAAGTGGCGGGCAAAGCCAACTGCCAAGTTTCCAGAAATTCACGGAAAAACTTAGTGGATTTGGACACTTTGGTCTGATGAGGTCCTACGTGCAAGCCGTCTGTATGTCCGGGTTCTGCATTTGCATCCAATAAAACATAGACTTCATCGTCACGGACGAACGTCTGCAA